CAATTAGTCACACCGCGCTGCGTGGGCGTCTGTGGGACATTGTAGTGTGGAGTGGCGGGCGGTGAAAATACGTCGTGGTTACAGCGTTGCCTCTGCACGGTATACAGCAATGGCTAGTACTGCGCTGTGGACACATCGCACCGTTCACATGACGTTACTGGCCTGCATCTTGGAGAAAGGGTGCTGTTTCGAAAAAAATTAGGATAGTACGCTTCTATTACTACGGTGTTGAACTTGATTAAACCTAACCCCAACTTTCCTTTGACATTCGGGCTTATCAATTAACAAGCAGACAGACGTCTTGTTACCAGTGATCAACTTACTACCTTAGTTTGTCCCTATTTACTACACCTATATATGTATATACATACAGTATAATATATACACTATACATAGTATGTATTTACTATATTCTGGTTGCAACTGTCATCATTAGTGTTAGAAGGAGGGGTAAATAAGCGATTTTCCTTTTGTTTAATGGTAGGGGTGGGCCAATTTGGGATCACCTCTACTCTCACGTAAAACCCAAACGAATAATTTGATAAAGCTCAACGTTTCATACATTTTTGCAAGGGCTTGACACTCATTGACACGATGTAATGAATATCCTCACTTTAGGTCGGAATAGACTTGAAGCACCGCGAAGGTTTTCACTTTTTGTTAGTGTCACGATCCATATCGCTCACTTTTTTTGGGATACATCTACCTGTTTTTGGAGGATTCAATGAGGTTCTTGGTGAATCGGAAAACGTTAATCCATACTTTAGCCAGGGCAAAATATGGGCCCGAACTTCAGTGGGAGATAGTGGTTAGATCGATTGCTTCTTATGATTGTTTCTAGCGTCAATCATACTTTCAGAGGTCAAACATAATGACTTTTAACTGTCACGTAATTGAGACTTTATGCAGATCTTCGTCAAGGCTGCTACTACGTGCTTGTAGCCCGAAGGACTGGCACGAACGGGTGAGCGAACGGAAAAAATAGTCCTCTGAAGCTACCAAGGATCTGTGTCTGGTAGGACTTCTGAAAACGAATTGGGATGACTAAGCGAAGTTCACGTCCCATCGGACAGGAGGATATTGAAGTTAAGTGGTCATAGTAGGCGTAGTAATCAGGTACACAATTTTTCGTTGAAATCACTCTAGGAATGCAGGGTAACTGGAAGTGCCCACACTACTGAAATATAATAGGTGTCTTGATTGCACTCCACAGGTCACATTTTACTGATCATCTGCTTCGGATGACAGAGTGTTGTTTGATTCTCGGTGTCCTCTTCGTCTAACCAGAGCAGTGAAACACGAACATGATGGTCAGTAGCTGGATCCTTCGAGTGGTGGAAACAGCAGTAGCAGCTTCAATGGCGATCCCACCATTCACTTACCACATAGCCAACTTCGGGTCTGGGCTTTCACCCTAGGTGAAGTTGTCTTTTGACCTGCGGTCTTAACAGACCACCTAAATTTACGGCCTTTAACAGAAATTTGGACTGCGAGTGTGGAGCCTCCTTCAGCCTCAGAAGTACTCGGCTATACACCCCTACCCAAATGTCACCCTGCTCCTGATTCCAATGATCTGTCACCTGTTCTGTTCAAGGGCGGCAGTGAATTCCTCAACCAGTACTTATCTAGCCTATTTGTGTCTGTCTGAGAGAAACTGACCGTCCCAGACAACCGGAGTGAACTGACCATAGTCTCCATCTTCAAAGGGAGTACTCGCAGTAGTAACCACAATGTCAGTTTGACTCCCGTTGTAACAGGGCTTCTGGAGTTCGTACCAGACTGCAGTAAGGTCTATGTTGTTTTATGGCCTCTGCGGACAAATGATATAATGTCTCGGAAGTGCTGCTGGTATGTGATGGCGTCAACGAATTCTTGTCGTATGTTTGTACGGCAAGTACTTTAGTCACATAAAAATTCGGTACCATCAACTGCGGTGGCTCGACAATGTGCTACGCCATACTGGGGCGAATATTGTTCTTAGCGTCTCCTTCAGAGTGGGGCAAACTGCGAAGTGGACTGTGCATGACTTGGCAGAAAGATGTGAGAGGGACTACGAGGAGATCAGGTGTCGTTAGTGCGATGCGCCCCCTAGGATGAAGCCCCTGCAACCTCCTATGCACTTGGCTGGATACATTGCAAGATTAGCGTTTGATCGGTGTCAGTGGCGTTCCTACTGTCAGTTTCTTTCCAAACCGTCCGACTAAGCGGTTGGAGTTGTAGGCACTTCAAATGCTTGCGACAGACTAGAACCAGGTCCCGCCCTCACCCAATCTTTTCTGTTTCCTCACTTTGAGGCTTTAAATATAGTGAAATGGAGTTTTTTGTGGTTGTACGGCAGTGGAGCATCACCTTCAACACTGATGTTGCTGTCAATGATGTCAATGATTTACACATTATTTTTGTGTTAAACAGAACACTGTAGGGCACGGCAAGCAGCCTCGACTAATTTCGCCGTGACCTATTATAAAATGGAGAGCATGATTTTGCTTGTGGAGAAAACCAATCTTCGGGGCCCATGAAATCCGGATCCCACTCTATTTGACGGTTCCTACTTTTATGGCTCCCTCGTTCGTGTGCTCATGCAGGCGTGTGTGGTACTCTCAGATGTCAAGATATTCTGCCGATAGTGCCATCACCTATCAGATGTGACGGAATTCGCTTAACTTCTTCGAGGTCGTATTTCATAGTGAGCACTATATAGCCTAACGGAAACAAGGTTATTCTCTACGCCCACTCAGCTGAGAGGCCGTGTCGCAGTGGCGTTTGGTGTTCCTCAGGTGAAATTTCCGGCTGCATCGACCACTTTCGGTGCTAGTTTCAAAGTGAAATGACCTGAAGGAGCTATAGAGCAGAAATGAGGTCACAAGTGACGGACCTGAGAGTTAGTGGTCCCCAATCATCCTTGACTGTTTTATTGCTCCTGTCTTGATTCAGTCCAGTTGGTGCTTCTAATGTTCACGCTTGTTGTGTGTTGTGTTGCAGCTATGCACTAAGTGATTTTCTTTTTCAAACTGAACTGACTACCCCAGTTCGCAACACCTACGCTGTCTGTGTGACTTACCATCACTCAGAAGGGTTTGGAATGTATTCGACCACGATTGTTTATTTCTTCAGCGAATTGGCACCAAAACTTGTAGCTACTAACAGATAAATCCTTGAGCTTAGTGGCAAGGTTAACCTAGCTTCCCACACTGTGGCCGTGGTCGATCACACTAGGTATAGTACATCGGCTCCTGAAGGTCGCCTCTCAACGTGACCGCAAACTAGGTCGTAACCGATAGAAAACGTTGCTTTACGCTCTCCATGAAAATGGTCTCTCTTTGAATGGTCTTTCTGGGGGTGGGATTCCTGCACTTTGGAACTCTACACAGTAAATACCCAATTGACTGATTGACTCCACTTCGTTCTACACTGCATCCTATTAGAAAGCCACTATTGCGGGCGCATACTGGGTGGCATGATGGGTTGGTTCAGTTCCCGTTGACCTTTCGATCACAGCTATCAATAATGAGTGGAACACATTATGCCGCTCTTCTCAGATCTCCCAACGCGAAGACCTCCTCTGACACACACCTTATTGCCAGCAAAATACTTCTACAACAGCTAATATGAGAGAAAAAATCCGGGCACTACAGAGGACGTTGTAACCCGGTGATAGTTTGCTAATTAAAGCTTGTCGTTTACTCGGATATCAGAATACTAGGAACCGTGTAGCTAGTGACAGCTTCCTCTCAGCCGTTACCACCCGAGGGATAAGGTGGAATCATATATGGCCTCAATAGGAAGTTGATGGGACCAATCAAAAACAGCCCTCTTGTCGGGTTAGTCACTTTTTTATACTGTCATCCCGTCCAGACAACGCCATACACAATTGGTTCTACCGTCGCTTTACTTACTGTGGATCACAGCCTGAACTTACAACCCAGTCCAATGGGAATCTCCGTTTTCGACCGGTGTGGGGCCAAATCCGATATCGTCTGCTTTCTCCGCTACATCAAAGTATACACAGCTCTAACTCGAATGCTTGAAACTATGACAGCACGTGGTCACCCCGTACCGAACGTAAATAAATCACATGTCATGTATGTATGTGCGCTATCACCTCGAACTGAAGACTACCCTCGATTTCGTTTGTCGTTTTCACTTTTCAGTTGCACAAGGGTTAAAGTGTGACTAGACAGTATGTGGTAAATCTGGGCTAGTAAGGTTGCCGTACACTCGAACAACCCTCTTTTTCAGCTACTGCTATCAGGACTGTTGCGACCCATACGGAACTGATTCACAGTTCTACTGGTCATGAATTAATTAACACTCTGATTTTGATGCTCTTAATGATGGCGCTCAGTACTCGCACAACAGAATTGAATTTTCGAAAGCTGCGACGTGTCTCTGATGGGCTAAAAGAGACAGGCAATTAGAGTTCAGAGTACGAGTCCAAACCCTTGAGCCTCATCTAGGCATCCCGGGGTCTCAGCGATGCTAGGAAAGTATTCCGTCAGAGGTAAATTGCTTCGATGGACAATGAAATTCGGTGAGCTGAGAAAATGTGAAAGTAGATTAGGATGATTTTTGGTGTGAGCACATAAGCAACAAAATGCAACATTTCGGCGCAAAAAGTTTTATTCCATTTGCAAAGGTTTTGCAGCTAAGTGCATTGTGCGGCCAATGGACCGCTTAATTATTTGTTATTGTTTGAAATCTGTGTAAGTATCATGTTGCTGTGAATGAAACTGTTGCCGGGTTTGATTTTATCCATTGCAAATAGCACCTTTTCGCTTGCGTTACTGTTGTCGACATAGAATAGATTAGGCTCTTGCGTGAGGAAAACTGGATAGGATGCTGTTAGATGCATTCACTCGATTGGATTCCTTCAGCGCACACCAACCTCGCAGCATCTCATCTCTCATGTATCCTTCGGGTTGCACCGCAGCTAAACCGCATTATTTATTTATTTATCTAAAAAGGCTCGTCCTTGTTAGAACTGCACAAGTCTGGTTTGCTGTACAGGAACCCATCCTAACGGCGATTACTGATACTGCGGATGGGCACCAGATGTATGTCCTTCGATTCAACTACAGTAATCTGTCCAAACTAGACTGATTGACAGAAGTAGCAGAAAAGCTAAGCTCAACGTAATCCCTTTTATACAGACTATGCCTCCCTGGAGCAGACGAACTATCTGCAATGCTATGAAGAATCTATTACAAATGAAGTTCGGTATCAATTTGTCTGGTACATCGCTCCATTAGTTTCGCAGTCGGTTCATTCCAAATCTGTAATCAGCCCCTCCGCCCGGCCACTTTTCTGTGGTTTCGGTGCGTGGACAACTTTAGTCGATTGCCCTTTGCGCACAACCCACCGAATCAGATGTGCTGGTGGTTTGGGCCATGACTCTTCAGTAGTGCCTTATGAGTATGACAACTTATCAACACGAGCCCTGATGACGACTGTAGAGTGGAGGGTGCGTGTGTCTACATTTTGTTCCAAGGATATTGGGGCCATGCCCAGTCTGACTGGTGAGCGGTCATACTTTACCCGCAGATACCTTTCAATAATCGAAGTCCATGCTAAGCTAACTTCATCTAACAGTAACAGCACTCATGTGGCCGAATCATAACGGTTCATTCTACGTGGGAATGGAGGATCTTTTTTTGTTAATCTGCCACATCTGATCTAGTTACAAGGATCAAGACAGTTAAGCGGAACGGGCGTTAGAACAGAGCTAATTCACTTAAAATCCTATGTAATGCCGCCACGTTCTGATGATATACATAGATTTAACACTTTGTCTCCATCTTCCGCCATTCCCTGCCACCAGGATAGGTAAGTTCCAACACTTCAGGCAGGAAATATCAAGTTCAGGACATGGGGCTCTACACTACTACTAACATCTTGGCTGTTCAAGGTGTGTGCAGTACAGCCAACCATCAAACAAAGTACACTGGGAGCTATGCGCATGAAACCGTTGCCGGTCTTTGCTAGGATTGTTGTCCAGTTCATTCATGTAGCTCACTCATCCGATTTTGTGACAATCACTTCTTCAAATCATGCGTCTCTATGTGGTCGGTGCAGGCTGTTCGCATTTGCTGGTCTAAGGCTACGCGGTCCGATTGTATGTACCTGCTCATCATTATTATAGCCCATTTGTTATGTGTACTCCTCCACGCCCAAGGAGGTGCACCACTGATGAGCTCTGAAAAGCCCTAAACTCGGGTCCGGTATGATGTGTACGAACGGAATAACTGTTTCAGGACAGGAAAAGGACTATTAAAACGAGTGATGTGAATGAAAATGTTTGTTAAACCACTGGAACACACTAAATTCTCGTCCTCTTATGCTGTTTTGTTTCTTTGCAGGCACTCCGACCGAGGAGACTTGGCCTGGCGTCACTGACCACCCGGATTACAGTAAAGCTCTCAAATATGGTCCATATCCTGGGGAACCCGGGGGACTGCTTCACTCAGCCCCACGTCTTTCTCGCCGTGCTCACACTCTGCTAGCTAGTCTTCTAGTGTTTCCCGGAACACGACGGATTTCCGCCGCAGATGCCCTGAAGCATCCCTACTTTACCGAATCTGCGCATCTCCCTGTAGGCGCCCTAGCCGATCTTCCGCACTCGTCGAGCATATTCGAAGTACAGGGAGTGAGATTGGCATGTGATCCTGGTCGGAATGCCGTCTCTCTCGGGCCCGGTCGATCCAAACCATCGAACAACCTTATCCAGATTAACGGCTTTAATGGAAACGGGAAACCAAGGTACAATCATACGAGACAAAAATCCGTGCCCTCTTATGAACCACTTGGCAATAACAACTTTCCACCTCAGCGAGTTGTGGTAGACAATGAATTCGCTGGTGCGCTCCCACGGGACGTGAGCCGGAAGTTGACCAGGCCACACCAACAACACTTGTACAATCAGACCAATGGTAATCACCACATATTTCCCAAATACCCCTTCCCTGCGGGACATCCCCCACCTCCCCCTCCACATCAGGTTTCTTTGGAAAACTCGATTCATTTGCAATCCGACACCGCCCAGGCACAAATTGGAGGTTTATTCCAAGTTTCGAATTCCATGCGTCGTCCCGTATCCACTTCATTCGAGACCGCCCCCTATTACGTGCCGCATTCCAACTTGAATTCGGTTCATTCACAACAGCTCTCGGTCTTCGATCCCCCACATAATCCTTCCGTGCCCTGTCACACGAATTCAAAATCCAGAATCGTCCTATCTGGTGTAAATTCTGTTGAGCATCATCCAGTGGGACTTGTCTATTCGAGACAATCAGCAAGTGAGTCAGTTGTGCGTCAGGGATTACGTTTTGGGCCTTGTCTATTTCACCACACAGCGGAGAGCATAACCAACTACAGTTCATTGACAGCAGAGTATTCGTCCACTGAACGAGTACAAACTGTGTAGCGCAACAGTCCTTTGCTTGTAGTTAAGATGTCCGATTGGATGAACAAGGTGAGGAAAACCATGCAAAGCGTAATTACGATAGCTAATCTTGCGTGGTAAACGGATTAAGAATGTTGTATATGACACATGCTGATTATATACTCATCTGTTTTTTGGCCTTTATCGCCATCAATTACATGGATGTTCCCGAGAGACATGCCTCTGAAGGGCGGTAATTTTCACGGTGAGTCTACAACAGTACCCCATGCTATTCACAACCTAAAGTTTAAAAAGGGGCCACTCCAGGCTGTCCCGCAGTGGATACCGTTGCGTATCACCGTCAAGCGGATACAATGGAAGTCCTTCCAACAAATTGTATAACCTCAGCTAGATAGTAACTGCATCGTCTTAGATTATACAGGAAGCCCCGGGGCTCTGTTAGATGACAACTCTTCGTCTTCACAAATACGAACAGTATCTCATTCAGGAGCAGCAATGTTGAAGACCAGTGCTTCACTGGTATGCAGTGAAGCGTGAAAAGCCTTACGCGACCAACAAAAAGAACCCGGTCGATTGAAACACAATAGATGTCACACGCGTGTTTTTTCACGCAAACCACGATATTCCCAAAACCCAAACGGGAGAACGATCCGCGCTGGTGACTAGAGTCTGACTGAAACGCCTAACCATGAGACAATGTTGCTTGTCGAACAAGATGCCAGGGCAGTTGAAATCCTAAGAGGTAATTTGCTGTACATGTTCCAGTATCGACCCGAGGATTGTCACCAAATCCGTCAACCAAATTAAAAAGAGAGACTCCATTAGTGTCGTACAGGACGTTCCCCGTCATAGTCCAATGAGTCCTGGAACTGCACAAACTACGCCGTTATAAACTTTATCCTTGGCCTTGGCGGAGATATACTTTCCACAAGAACACATCGCATCCATAAGCATATTTTGGGGGACCGCGTAGTCCCTTCCCAGTTGGCTCTGTTATAATTCAGCAGATTTGGGCTTTTCCAGCGGTGGTCCCAAAAAACTGTCAACCCACACCGTTTCCGTGATGTACGCATCTCAACGCCCTCGAACAGTGCTGACTGTGAAACAAATGTCTGGTCTTGACAGCGTACAGCTTGATCTACATGTTCCAACCTGTTACTGATATAGTCAAAGTCGAATCATAAATAATAGCGGTGAACTGAATGACCTCGTTACACGTAAAGATATGACTGAGCATGTTGCCTCACCCAGGTCACTGAGTTACGGTAGGTCGCCGAAAAATAAGGCTGCACTCGTACTCTCTTCCGTCAGGCTTATTTCGGGGAATGTTCTATCCTATTGGCATTGCAGGACAAGCGCCGGTTGACACAATTAAGCGAAAAGCGTCAGTAGTGGATTCAGTACCCTGATTGGTGCGACGCTTTGGACTAAGCTATAAAGTCTAGTGGAGTTTCACTGTCGACTAATTCGCATCTCATTTGCGAAGGTTGGTTTTCCGTTTGCTTGATGTTGGCCAACCGGTAGTGCCTAACGGGCAATAAGTGGGATCATAGGGGATGACTGTTTCAGAGGTGCTACCTATAACATCAAATACATGGCAGTACTTCTGGCGCACGTGACCAACGTCTGGCATCGATTTAATGAATTCTTCTATGTATCCGGTTTTAACAGCTTTTTAATGTATGATAGAAGTTCCCGCGTCATCTGGAGTGAAAGCTCCTTATATCCAATACAATACATCCCTTGGTGGGAGTAGATTGATGTACCGCGGTGAACACCTGGATGGGGTATCAGCCCTTGACATCCAGATCAGCACGGACGGGCGTTTTCTGTGGCACCCAGCTAAACTGTGCAGGTCTACTTCAACACAGCGACGAGCTTGACGAATATCGAGTTTTTTAGTGTTGCCTCGTCCGGGATCCTGACTTCCCCTTTCATTCGCACTAAGTCTAATATTTTTTTTAAAAGCAACGCTGTGCTGTGGTAAAATCAATCTCGCACTAAATCTAGTATTCTTTTTTTCAAAGCAACGCTGTGCTGTGGTAAAATCAATTCGTAAAGAGCATGTTACTTAATCTGGATCAATGGTATGTAGTATTTGATATGTAGTATTTGCTAGCACTTTTTGTGGACAATAAAGTGCCCATTTTTCGGATGTGCGGGCTTTGTTCCCTCAGAGTGAAGTATGTTTCCAAAGCCGCAACCGGCAGAATTCTTCCCGGGGAGTGAGTTGGGAATAATGAAGCCCCTGAAATAACAGAAGTAGCTCGGTGTGTGTTTGTTCACTGAACTCGAGATAGCTCAGTTGTTAAGGCACGGAAATTCCGTGGTTCGAACCCAACGTCGGCATCTCAACTGCTCCTGTCTAGGCTTGAGCAACTTGGCAGTATCCGGCCAGTAAAGCCGCGCTCTAACCACTGAGCTGAACAATTAATATTTATTATTATCCCTGGTGCCAAGTCACATCTTGCAAGTCACGGATATAATTCTGAACCTTAGAGGCACACTTCACTACCACTATCCGGAACACTAGGTGTGATTGAAGTAAAAAAGTTCATGGTATGAATACCCGTGGCGCACCCTAAGTACGTGATAAGTATGACGATATGATGTGGTATCGTGCGCTGAAAAATGGTTCGCTCATAAACCTCTCTTCTGGTTTTCACACGAATTTTGTTAGTCGTGTGCTCACCGATCTGTGTAGGCGGGACTGCGCTATTATCTGCTTGCGGTATTTCCACGTGTCAGTCAATCTTAACTATGCCCATTTCGCTGATTGCTTACGGTAATTTTTCAAGGCACCTAGACAGTAAGTTGGATATCTTGCTTTTGCTTATCTACTTTTTCCTACTGTCAGTGACCTATAAAGATAAACGACACAGCCAACCAGTAGCAGATTGTCTGAAAGTCCGTTGTAGTTTAAGCCTGATGCACAACCACGCATATGTCAGAACTCTGTAGAGGTTCGTGCTGATGTTCTCTGCACATGTCAAGTTAGTGTGACCGATGCTGGTCAGTCGTTTTTTGTGTTATTGCACTTGTTCGACCATTAACCGCGTACTGGGTATCCCGGTTGTTGGAAAAAGGAAGAACAGCCACACAACCGATAACAATTCAAATCCGCTAGTGATGGATCATTAGATCGTGTGTTTGGATCCTGTATTCATCATTCTCCTCAAAATGCTGCTGAATAGTTTGATTTTGAACGGGGAGCGCTGTTAGTTAGCCAGCTAGTGTCCAGTCATGGATTTCTTCCGACAGAATAGTGTGCCGTTTTTTGCGATACTGCTGGCGGAACGTCTGCTGTCAACTGAGCACATTTCATCGGTTTCTTTTTCGGGCCTGTTTGGGATGTCAGCTTCTGCGCAAATTTCATTTCATGCTGATGAATGTCCTATCCTGTTGATGTGTTTGTCCGACAAGGTTTTTGCAGCTCTCGCTTTCTTACGATTGCTGTGGGCAAATGTCGAGGAGTGTCAGCAGGATAGTGCTCCAAACGAAACCTCCCTCAAAATAGGGATCCACAAAGCCTTTCCATGTCAACAGCGCCCTTCGAAGGGTGATCACACTTTAAGGATGACGGTCTGTTGTGAGGACTGTCGTGCTGCGGGATTGCTTTTCACCTCCATAACACCGCAAAATTATTGTGTAAGCTTTTCAGTTTCCCTTGCATCTAGCAGCGGATTACCAAATATGGCTATTGTGCCACACATAACCACGGAACAGCAAGACCCGTGCTCCATAATTAGTTACTTAGAGCCGAAACAGCTCAGCGATTAAGGCGCGAACTTACCGGCCGGAAAGTCCGCAGTTCAAACCCAGCCCCGGCATCTCGATTACTCGTGTCTAAGCGTGGGCAACCTGACATTAGCTCAGCGATCGTGCTTCCTTCGAACGGCATGACAGCTAGGCACCGAAAAGGTGATACAGCTGAACGATTATTATTGCTATTATTATTATTAGTAGTAGTATTATGGAAAAACTTATAACATACACTCGCACAACGCTATGAGAGGGTGCGATGTACCTCCAACCTCTGCATTGTAAACCAGCCACATTTCCTACCTTCATGGATGTCGTGTGTAAAATGTGAATCTTGGGTAACTGGGTAGCTGATGTTCACAATATCCCTGCTATTCACGTCTACCCAGATCAGTTGGTGTGGAAAAGGCTATCCTTCATCCATGCATCTTCATTTGCAGTAACGTTGTACACGTGCATAGGCGAGTTCAGTTCCCGTCAAGTAATGGATAGCTCCATCCACTACTGTCATCTGTAATTAACTGGCGCTAGTTACCTGTGTATTGACTTACACTGTCCAGGACCGGTCTACTTCTCCGCGTAATATCATAGTCTCATTGGTCTTCGGCTCTAGGCTTCATGGGTATGGCGCTACGATTCTCCTAATATGTCTTCTCAACAACATTTTTCCACATTGGACTGGGGCTTGTAAGGGTGCATATGCCTGCTAGATACATATACCTATGTGCGCTATTCCAGCTTTGACTCACTCATTTGTAACCCACAAGTGCTTTGCATTGCTATTCAGACACCTTTTCCTGTCTATGTTGTATCAACGTGCTTTTCCTATCTCTTCCTCAGACAAATTTGAAGATAGGCGCCGCAGCTTGTTTTCATAAGCCCAACGACGCTGCACGTTCCTCACGCCCAGTCGATTACCGTGGGCCCGCCCGTCTCCTCGTCATCCAAGCCACACTCGCCACACTGACGCAATCCCCACGACTTAGTCCTCTTTGTTTTCTACCCACCCACCCACACACGCACACACACACATACACATATGTACAGTCGTCAGAGCTACCGCGCGAAATACAGTTGTTTTAATCATTGACTTTAACATAATGTGCTTTTGACTTACTTTCTTCACCTACCTTTGACCCTCCTCGTGTTCCCCGATACACACAAATCATGCATTTTAACTTTAATTTATTGCTCTACTTCTTGCTGTCGCTGCTACTCTTAATACTATTCTGTTACCAGTCTTACCATATACATAGAAAATACTGTGCCGCATACCTGTCAATCTTATCATTACTACTTAGCGTCTCTTCTTTCCATTCGCCGATGTTCCAAACTATACCACTAGGTCATAACGTGTCGCCTGTATATGTGTGTTTGTATGCGCGGTTACGTACGTGCATGCATGCCCACGCGCCACCTATTATGAATACACATATCCATATAGACCCACTGGTATTATGATGTAATCTGTTCAATTTGCCTCGGGAACACTGTGATATAGTGTGAGAGAAGGTCTATGTTATCGTAACAACGTTGCTTTTGGCGCTTATGGAGCCTTAGGTTTAACAGCCGAGGTACGAGCCCTCTATTCGATTCAACCTCTGAATCTTTATTTCCTAGGCTTGGGTTCTTGTGCATCTCCCGGACCACACTGAAAATGTGCCAAAACTGGTGGATTTGTCCAAGGGAGACATTGGGCCTCCAAGCTATCTACTCCCGAGAATGACTACTATCAGCCCTTGGTTTGCTGGGGACATTCTGTTTCGGGCAACCATAGTTCAATAGGTTCGTTCTGCTCAACGTTGCGATACCCATTGGTAGGCAGCATTAACAACGTCGCCACTTCGTTACATTACGGGACTGTTTGTCGATGATGCTAAGACCCAGTGCATTACTTGTTGATTTGCTTGCCTAGTGTTCGCGCTTTTTGGGGGGAGTTTCGTCACCATTCGAGGAAAAACTATCAATAATACGTTCAGGTGGTCAGGTCGACACCAATACCAGCAAACAAAATTTTATCAGAAGTTCACTCATCACTTGCTCTGTTGTGGGTGAGAGGAATTCCTCTCAAGATGTCCGACACGATTGAATAACTGGAAAACTATCTGCATTGTTCCTAGATCGAATTTTATTGCGGAAATTCGACTGTCGCGTGTTAGGTGTTATCCCAAATCCCCCTACCCCGTGAAAATTGCCTCCTGGTTCATAAGTGATCCCCAATGAAAATAAAACTGATGCCAACACCAGAATTGTGACAAATGGATGCCCATCAAGACAACCAGTCCTCTGCATCCAGTTCACTTTTACATTTAGTACGAACTTAATTAAGCAATGCAGTCGGAAAGACTGATGCCTTTCGGCGGGACTCGAATCTGTAAACCTCTGATCGCCCAACGCGTGCCTAGCCAGCTAGCCATGCTATGTCCGTCTGTACTGAACAGCGAAATAACGTTGCATCTGACCCTCGTAGTTCCGATCTTGGTTTTGCATTCATCCAAGCCATCCTGGACGAGATTGTGCTCAGATAACTCTCGTGCGGCACGACTGTTTACCTCTCTGTGACGGAGATTACTTCTTTACTGGCCGCACTGAAAAACAGGGCTATGGTGCATTCTAACTGTTCGTCACATTTGTAGTTGAGGTCTCTTCTTTGTTAGGTGGTTTTCAGGGAAAATAAGCCTACTTGCGGATAACAACAGCTCTGACTTCATAAACTACCTATGCAACGGAAAACAATCAAACTACGCTGTTTGCCTAAGCTTGATAACTGGCATTTACCGTCGTCAAAGCTTTTTCTCTGCAACCAGTACGTGGCCGTCAACCGGATCCTCGAGATATGTTCTCTTCGCACTCATCAATTGGCCAGAGTACCGTAACCATCCCATCCACTATGTTTACTAGCTCTACCACTGTTCACCATTTTCCAAATCCGTCATTCTGATTCTCACTGGTTGAGCAATGAATGAGCTAGACGACGTGTATCCTATCTTTGATCGTGTGCCTGTCCTCCGCACATTTGGTCCACAGCAGTTGAACCAATAACCACTAGCTGGGTTCTCATTGGACGATTTGGGATCTTAAAGCTCCAGTTTGTTAGTAAAGTCCGCTAAAACACGAAGCTCAAACTGGCCGCGCTCCGCTGTGGGTCCGATGTGATACATCAATCATGTAAACGCGCTCGTGTGCGGTACGGCCGGCTGGTAGATGCAATAATCAGCAGCAACAAAGCACACCAGAAATAACTAGGACAGTCATAAATGGTAACTCTCAAATGAACAAGTCGTCCTCTGGTTAGTCCATAACAAAGCGGGGGGAGCACTGTACTCGAGTTTCGCTCCTATTAGTTTACCAACAGTGCCCCGCCGTGCCGTGGTTCGAACTCCGGACACCTGAAATTCCAAACGAAAGTGCTACCACTGCTCGACCAGTGCACGCTGGACGCATCCGAATTTTCACGCTTGAACGGAAGAACAAGTTCACACTTGAGCGATGTGTACGACGACCCAGTACCCGCCTATCAGAAGTTCTCAGTCAGATAGCCACAAAGTTTGTCCACCTAACAGTTTACACCATTCTGAGGGGTCATGGAGAACACTCGTCTCGATGGACAATGTCTAGGCGTGCGTAGCACATGGCCGAGTCATCACAATTTATGGTATCGGATGTTCTCCGCGACTGAGGTACATGACGCACGACCAAACCAAATAATCACCTCGTTACGAATTCGTTCAGACCATCAGTTTTTATGGAATTTATTTTCAACACACAACCACTGCCTTTTCATCTATTTTCTGCCATATATATGTCGTTCAGCTGTAGCACCCTTTCGGTGCCTAAATGTCATGCCACCCGAAGGCTGCACGAGGGCTGGGATACTGCCAGGTTGCCCAAGCCTAAGACAGGGGAAGTCGAGAGGCGTAGGCCGGGTTCGGACCACGGACCTTCCGGTCAATAAATTCGCACTCCAACCACTTGGGCCATCTCACCCCCTATTTTCTGTCAGATTCATTTGTTTCCAGTTTAGGGATGATGGTTCAAACCCCTCAATAAATCCCTGCTGTGTTCTAAACCCGTCATTTTTATTTGGGGAAAATAAAAAGGGTGTTAAAAATTATTCGCCTGTGAACCTTTGCAACTACACAATGTATGCTGGGAGTTTCTTGGATAGTTGAGGCCGGTACGAAACCACTAATTTATGAAGGATCCCAAACAAGTTTTCAGATTCCGTCGGGTAGGCACATTGCAGCCGGTTGGTTAGAGTCGTTAGAGACGTGAGTAAAACAAGAACTGTTTTCCGCGGATACACCTGCCAAGTGGTTGAGTTTCGATTGTTACATTTTCTGGGAAAAATTCCTACCCATCTAAGCAACCGGCGCAGCTTGCAAGAGGTCATATTAGGTTGTTTGGGGTTAGTACGCATCTTTAGTAGAGAAGTCGATGCACTCCTACCGGAGAGCCTTGCTTTTGGATGAGGAATAATGTAACATTGATCATGTGCTGCCCTGGTGATAGGATTAACGGTGACTGCGGAATCTGACTTCGCGCTTCCACACCTACAGCACGCACTGCTAGACTGTATATGGTAGATCGGAGTCCAGGAACATGCCACAACAGACATGGTGAAACGCATGACGCGATTGGGTGACTAACTGACAGATGCGCGTCTTTGTTGTTGCCAAATTTTCAGCTGTTAACTGAAACTACAAAGAGAAACCCAACAACAAGACTAAAAATTGTTACTGTCATGCTAAAACTAGCTTCACGGTGATGTGCGCCTTTTGGCTGGCTAAATGAGACTTATCTGGATGTGCGGCAGTACGCGTAGGAATACAATAAAACTATTTGCACAAGGTGAGGATGTTGTCTTCATAGTGCGTGACGGTATTTCGAATATTCATGGTGTATCCTAATGTAGCAAAAAACGATTGCTTGGAACTCATTAAATATTCACTTGTTGTTTCAGCTTCAGTTTTATCACGCTCACTCCGTATCGAAGCTTCGTGATCAAGTCACGTTAGGAAAACCCTGTTAGTAACATGAGATGAGGTAACACCAAAGTCAACGAAATAGAGTCGATTGATGAAACCGAGTGACACAAACCTCGGATCAGAAAAGGTCTATGATAGCCGACCTGATTAGATAGTAACAATGAGCAGCGAGAAACCCAAGGCCCATTGGGAATGGTTACAACAATGAAACTTCAGTCTCGCACAGGTTCATAAAACATGACTAATGTGCTCATAACTTGAAATATCCCACCAATTCGCACGGACTTTCTTCAGAGAAATGGTCAGTTGAGAAGTTAATCAGTACCGAGTCACGTGACATTTAGAGGGACGAGTGACGCTATATTCTATCCACATGCAAGAAGTTGGTCACGCGGCCGATCGGTCATTTCTGGCCGAATATCATTGCATTCAACTACCACCCGGAATCTCCAAATATTCATGAGATCTACTTTGTTGATGAATTCCAAAATGAATGACGCCCACAATTAAGAGGCTCTTCACTTCTGAAGCGTTATGTTAGAACACTCAAAAACTGATCCGATTTGTGCGCCGTTTCGCTTCATAAGAACATTCAGAAGCGACCATAAGTGCAACAGTAATGAACGAGTATTATTATACAAGGAAGTTGCTTATGTACAAAAAATAACAAAATTTTAAATTTGTTTGCGCGTCGTGACCAATTACATTCATCATCCCTCAACAAAGCTCCACAGCCATTGGGACAACACGTTGCTCCGGACAGTCGTGTGTGTTCTCTTCCCGCGGCAGAACCATCGACGCGAGTTCGTTTGCCAACTCCATATACTGAGTACGAATCGAGTTTTTGTCGGTGGGTACAAGGTAAGAATAGCAGGTGACCAAGCTGCCCTCTGACAGGGGACCCATCTGTTGGTTCTTTACTGACGATCCAATCTTCTCTCGATCGTTACTGAGTATTGAACACTTCCAAGAAGCAATTGATTCTTCGTGTTCCAAACGGTTCAACGTATTAACCAAATGCGTAAACTCCGGTCTCTTCAATGGTTCAAAGTTCCAACATTCAAGCATGAGACCATAGATGGTGTCACTTGCCAGGAATGGCTTTGGATTGCGATAGCCAGCTTTGATTTTTGCTGGCACCACGGTCGGATCCATGCCCTTAAATGGTGAACTACCCAGGGTGAATATTTCCCACATGAGCACTCCAAACGACCATCTGGGGTAGAAGAATACGGAACGAATGTGAGCAAATGAGATACAACTCACAGATGACTAAAGCATGAATACCTGTTTGAAAATAGAACAGAGGACCGAATGATAACAGAACAGAACCGATTAATGATCCAACTGGTTGATTGGGGCTGTGCTCCATACACGTATGGATTCCCGCACTTGGTTGTTAATGTGGGCGAGCTTCGCTTCAATCCACTTCCTATAAATTTTATCAGCCCAAGCGACCGTATAGTGCCAGCAGACTGCTTCAATAAGTTACTTATGGCCTGGCAAAACACAAAGCAACAAACTTTACCACATTTTACAACTTCATACGCCCGGCCTGATGTGTCGAACTAATCTAGCGACTTCGCAGTGACAGCTCGGCTGCTTTCACCCCTCTGCTAGAAAAAATGCTCCCACTGGTGGACCAGTTTTGGTTTCGGAACTCAGGAATCTCTCTGAGCTTTTTTAGTGTTAATGATATGGAATGTGTATCCAATCGCATCAGTGAATCGCTCACGTGACTGTTATCGACTCATCAAGGCTAATGGATTTTCGATCGACTGAACGACACGCACGAGCTTAGTATGGAATCAACTAAATGGTTACTATACACAAGTTATGTGGCGATGTTGGAAGGGCCGGAAACAGTGACTCAAGACACACAGCACCATTAGGTACCTAAGTAATCTTACAGAGCAATAGAAAAGTGTGTAGTCAAGGTGGGACTGTTTTTTCAACCAGTGAACTGATGTCAGTCATTCATTCATTTCCTTTGTACTAATCTTAGCACTGTGCTGGCCAAAATATCCGTTTCAGTGTTCATTTCTGTGGGATAGGTGGTGCAGATGCTTGTGTAAGTGGGTCACTGTTCGAGTCATTCATGCGCACATTGTGACAAAGACCGCTCGTTGAATCAATTTCAACTAGCTAGAGGTATTCGATAACTATGGATGGGATTCCCACCTATGTCGCAACCGGCGTGTGTCACATGCACTTGCTGTGTTTCGACTGGTCGTTTTACTTATCTCTGAATCGCGTTGCTAACCGGACTATCACACTGTGGTCGACGCGCATCCGCTTGCTTGCTTCTGACGTTCCCCAATTCGTCACGCTGCGGCACAGAAATGTGCCGTGATGAGCTTTGTGGGCAGGACCCCCGAAACGATATTTATTCGACTTTCAAGTTTCGTAGACGGTCCAAACCGTCTAGAATCTTCCCGGATGGGGCAGTTGGCCTGCAAGCGGTGTTTTTAGGAGGTTCACACATATGGCTACCGCCCTAAGACACAATATGACCTACAACCCTCTTGCTTTCAGCGTCCAAAATCACAGCACCCTTGTCACGTGTATACCAGGTGTTCGTTCGTCCTGTAAGCCCGATTACCTGTGCTTTTCTTCTTGTCATCCAATCGACCAATAGTCCAGACAGTTTTGATCAACCTGTGATAAAACGCCGACGCACTGATCGGAAATCTGTGCGCACCGATTTTGGCTTACCAACTACGGACAGGTATTCAGCTGCTCAACAACTTTTGACCAGAAAATCCGCTTTAGATCCCGCCCGCTTAGTACAATGTACAATCTACCAAAGTCATGTCACTGATGAAGTGAAATGAGGTCATCGGTGTAGGTTGAGTTGTGGTTGTATTTAGCTCCGGATTCGTGAGGGTGCAGATGAGATGGTGAGTCCAACATACGAACGAAGCGCTTTTGCCAACAAATTAGTGGCGTGTATGACAGTGGGGAACCAGTATCAACATTGATGTTGCTGTCTTCAATCGTAATACCAACAAACCGGTTCGCTGTGTCGGACTGCTGCAGTTGTGCAATGCTGTACCGATCTAGGTCCATAACAATGTGCATTGCAGACAACGCAGAAGCTTTCCCTAGTCACCACGCTGTACCATGTCTGCCAAGTGTTGCATGATCAATTTGGTTTTTGTCTTCATAGTTCCGCAAGCCAGCCGAAGTTACCTTATTCCCTGACAGAATTACCTGACCGCGCGTCCAACATACTTTGCTGCAAAGCAACAAGACTAAGGGAACACGTTGTTTGTGAACCAGAATAGAAGTGTTGCTCAAACCGATGTAAACCCTTTTGTTCAGCAGAGCTTCCACTCTGGCGTAGGACGTTTTCCTTCTCTTATGATAACAGAACCGATTGGTGCAATGATCCAACTGGTTGATTGGGGCTGTGCTCCATACACGTATGGATTCCCGCACTTGGTTGTTAATGTGGGCGAGCTTCACAGTTATCCACTTCCTATAAATTTTATCAGCCCAAGCGACCGTATAGTGCCAGCAGACTGCTTCAATAAGTTACTTATGGCCTGGCAAAACACAAAGCAACAAACTTTACCACATTTTACAACTTCATACGCCCGGCCTGATGTGTCGAACTAATCTAGCGACTTCGCAGTGACAGCTCGGCTGCTTTCACCCCTCTGCTAGAAAAAATGCTCCCACTGGTGGACCAGTTTTGGTTTCGGAACTCAGGAATCTCTCTGAGCTTTTTTAGTGTTAATGATATGGAATGTGTATCCAATCGCATCAGTGAATCGCTCACGTGACTGTTATCGACTCATCAAGGCTAATGGATTTTCGATCGACTGAACGACACGCACGAGCTTAGTATGGAATCAACTAAATGGTTACTATACACAAGTTATGTGGCGATGTTGGAAGGGCCGGAAACAGTGACTCAAGACACACAGCACCATTAGGTACCTAAGTAATCTTACAGAGCAATAGAAAAGTGTGTAGTCAAGGTGGGACTGTTTTTTCAACCAGTGAACTGATGTCAGTCATTCATTCATTTCCTTTGTACTAATCTTAGCACTGTGCTGGCCAAAATATCCGTTTCAGTGTTCATTTCTGTGGGATAGGTGGTGCAGATGCTTGTGTAAGTGGGTCACTGTTCGAGTCATTCATGCGCACATTGTGACAAAGACCGCTCGTTGAATCAATTTCAACTAGCTAGAGGTATTCGATAACTATGGATGGGATTCCCACCTATGTCGCAACCGGCGTGTGTCACATGCACTTGCTGTGTTTCGACTGGTCGTTTTACTTATCTCTGAATCGCGTTGCTAACCGGACTATCACACTGTGGTCGACGCGCATCCGCTTGCTTGCTTCTGACGTTCCCCAATTCGTCACGCTGCGGCACAGAAATGTGCCGTGATGAGCTTTGTGGGCAGGACCCCCGAAACGATATTTATTCGACTTTCAAGTTTCGTAGACGGTCCAAACCGTCTAGAATCTTCCCGGATGGGGCAGTTGGCCTGCAAGCGGTGTTTTTAGGAGGTTCACACATATGGCTACCGCCCTAAGACACAATATGACCTACAACCCTCTTGCTTTCAGCGTCCAAAATCACAGCACCCTTGTCACGTGTATACCAGGTGTGTTCGTTCGTCCTGTAAGCCCGATTACCTGTGCTTTTCTTCTTGTCATCCAATCGACCAATAGTCCAGACAGTTTTGATCAACCTGTGATAAAACGCCGACGCACTGATCGGAAATCTGTGCGCACCGATTTTGGCTTACCAACTACGGACAGGTATTCAGCTGCTCAACAACTTTTGACCAGAAAATCCGCTTTAGATCCCGCCCGCTTAGTACAATGTACAATCTACCAAAGTCATGTCACTGATGAAGTGAAATGAGGTCATCGGTGTAGGTTGAGTTGTGGTTGTATTTAGCTCCGGATTCGTGAGGGTGCAGATGAGATGGTGAGTCCAACATACGAACGAAGCGCTTTTGCCAACAAATTAGTGGCGTGTATGACAGTGGGGAACCAGTATCAACATTGATGTTGCTGTCTTCAATCGTAATACCAACAAACCGGTTCGCTGTGTCGGACTGCTGCAGTTGTGCAATGCTGTACCGATCTAGGTCCATAACAATGTGCATTGCAGACAACGCAGAAGCTTCCCCTAGTCACCACGCTGTACCATGTCTGCCAAGTGTTGCATGATCAATTTGGTTTTTGTCTTCATAGTTCCGCAAGCCAGCCGAAGTTACCTTATTCCCTGACAGAATTACCTGACCGCGCGTCCAACATACTTTGCTGCAAAGCAACAAGACTAAGGGAACACGTTGTTTGTGAACCAGAATAGAAGTGTTGCTCAAACCGATGTAAACCCTTTTGTTCAGCAGAGCTTCCACTCTGGCGTAGGACGTTTTCCTTCTCTTGCGGATGCATAACGAGACAGCTCAGTCAAAGTATTAGGGAACCTAATCCAACTTGATCGGTTTCTGGAACCAGGACAACAATGGCCAGCTCAATCGCACAGCACCCAACTGACAAGGTACACGGTTTGGTGACCAGCCAGTTTCCGCATTATCTACAAGGTGCCTGCCAACCAGTCTAGCTCGACTATAGCGACCCTATTCTTTGTGGACAAAAAACGCTTTGTTCGTTTGTTGGATACACCATAGTCCTCCCACACACATGCGCATCCGGTATTGAACGCGCACTGACAACCTCGAATTATTGCACTGTTGACCTGAACAGGATCTTTTTTTAAAAAGTATCCGATCCAGTCTTTACCATCATTTTTAGGCTCAACTCACTGATCACACTGCGTTAAATACGACTGCCTCAGCCTTTACAACTCGAGAAAGCATTCTGCAGAAACCACGTTCGGCAAACCAACTTGTTCTTAAGTTCTCAAATGAGAATTCACAAAGCATTGAGAGTAGAGTACCCAAGCATCATATTTGGATATCATTCAAAGTAGACGTACAACAATAACACTTACACATCTGAAAGGGTAGTGTAGATTCGATCATATATCGATTCTGGCGCCAACCATTTCACCGGCACCCGCCCCTGTGTGGATTAATCAGAGGACAGTATGTTGTTTATAAACTTTGCAAACAAACCGACAAAATAGAATTTGAACGAGACACGGACAGTTCGAATCAATAACATGAGGTCCGGAGAATCCAGTAGATGAAAGCATACCAAGGGTCGTTCTCACAAACCAGTGCATCTGTACTTTCACTCGGAGTGAAAGTGTATGGTAAAATCTGGGAACTTGACAGAAAAAGCCTACTCCCCAGAATATAAATCAAGGAGTAAAGTGGATGACGGTTGTTCTGAAGAAGTGCCCCCGTATATGGAGAAAAAACGGAAAAATCCTTTCCAAAAGACTTAACATTCTTAGACTTGTTTCACGTGATTTGGTATCTGATTAAATAGGTTGAAGGTTCATTCTTCCCGCATGTAACTAACACCAAATTACGATTCTCATGTTGGTTCGCACAAAGTGAATAAACAGTTCATACAGTTCATAGGATGAGATTCTATCAAAGTGGCTTTGATAAGTAAGAAAATTACGAGAAGCTGAGTGTCTTTAGAACAGTCCCGCAACTCACCGTATTGAAGAGTTGGTCATATTTCAAGGTATGAATCGGGAAAAGCGTGTGAAGGCGGAGAAAAAAACTTTCTTAGCTGAACAGAACGACATGACCGTCACGTAATGTCGAGGTCCGATACAGTATTTTCTGAACTGAAGTGACTGATCTCTTTGGTAGTAGCCTCGGTTCTCTTTAGCACCACATCTGGAAACGGTTCCTCTACACCATTTTCTGATGACGTTCGGCCCACGGCGATGGAACAGGGACAAGAACTTCGGCAAAAGTTTCGTGGACTAAGTATAAGTACCGGTTAATCACACTACTGACCAGCTGTTCAAGGCCGAACGTTTTAGTCCTCAACTATTTGCCGGTGATAGTGGACTCGGATCTCATCAGAGATTTGTGAAAGGTGCACTGTTGATCATTTTCAGTGAGAACAAAACAGTTTTGGGCTCTTTGGCATAGACCAGCTTCCTTTACAGAATGAAATCTCAGTTTAAAAGCAAGTGTAAACAGCCCAATAATAGGCGCTGTTTGGCTTCCAAAAAATACCGCGCCACGTGGGCTACCGATGACGTTGACCAGCTTGGTGCGTCCAGTTCTAACGCCAAGAGCAGTGTATAAGGAACGGGAGTCTTTTGATGACCGGAAAAGATAAACAAACCGATTTAGCACTGGCATCTCTTGGATCCTAATCAAAATGGTATTTCTACTGTTCGGGGACTGGGTGTTACGTTCTGTATCCGTCTACTAGGTGATAGACGATTCTAGGTTCATCTGAATCATCTTCTGCAAGATGGATGTACTGCAGGTTGGAAGTTGCCTGGTGGAAAGGACTACTGTGTTAAGGGTGGCTGAGTTCACTGACAAGTGGTTGTTTTCAACATTCATTCAGGATGATTCCCATGTATTCACAAACGGTTGAAGAAATAGAAAGGGCCGTTTGGTTGCAAATAGAATGTAGAAGAGTTGAAGAAAGCCACGAGCTCTGCTTCTAGAGTGCTCTATTCGTTGACTTAACCTCATACCTAATGCAAGAGACGATGTCTGACCTTCAGCGATTTGGTGAAGTAGCAGAACAAATTTCAGAAACAAAACCTAATTTCGCCGATATGAAACTGCGGTGACATCGGCGAGAGGTTGTGGCACTCTGAAAAGAATCAAAATTGTTCAGAAGTTTGTCCACTGTTTTCAAAATTAGCATTACTGTCCACAGGGTCCAATAACTAAACAAAGAGAGGGAAAGTCAATCTATGCCACACTGAGATTTCAGTCCAACTAAGAGGAGGGTTCATCAAGTTAAAAAAATGCTCAACTACTGGTTTCGAACCTTTCAAGGCGGGTTTGTCCTCGTCACTATCATTAAATTAATTAGATTGTACGTGTGACTGTTGTCGGGTGAGGTTAACAAGCGATTCATGCATGGTTTTCACTACTGACATATCGATATAGCGAGTAGTTCTTCTGACAGTTCGCTTAAGGATGGACCGGCTCCGAGTAGTTTCATGGAGTTCTATAGCGATTTCGTGCGAGCGGTGTGCCCAGTACTCCTGGTATTTTATCCGAGTGAGGTTCCGGACACTTGAACAACCACATGCAGTGCGTGCAGAAACATACCGATAAATATTCGTTCAGCGGTAACATCCTTTCGGTGCCGGGCCGCCATGTCCCGCGATGGAAGCAAGAGGGCTGAAACATTACCACCCCTAGACAGGAGCAGTTGAGATACAGGGGTTCGGTTCTAAAACGAACCTTCCTGCCAGTAGTTTCGCGCAACAACCAATGGGCTATCTCTAGCTCGAACAGAAATGGGAATACAGAGAACATCAGAAAATCTACTCATTGAACAAAACGTTATTTTGGCCGTTGGATTCAAGAACTGAACGAAATCGTACATTCTGTCGTGCACGCTCTCACCTGCTAACCATTGAACTAGACCGAAAATACAACATCCTCAGCTTCCATCCCCTGGTTATTGCGGCCATCGAATAAGCGTCGAAGAGGTGCCACTGTCTCGAAAAACGAGCAAGCCGATTCCCTTGAAGATAGGCTTTTTGGTATCTCCTGGGAGGAAGGGCTTTCACGCCAACGAAAAGCGTTAATTTAGACGACTATAGGTTAAGTCGGTATCAAAAAGAAAACTCAGGATAGAAAGAGCTAAGTAACGCTTCTCCTATGACACCGCTTTCATCCTTTTTCTACGTTTTCGTCTAAACAGCGCCTTCTAGGTTACACGAACTATCGATCCATGATCAGAGTAGCCTGAGTAGCCATAACATCCTGTGTCCAACTGACTAGATAAATGGGACAACTCTGGGAATTGATCTACAGCACTTTTCATTTGTAGACAACACCTTTCTGCTCGTTGAAAAAAAGGCGGTGGGATCGAAAACTTACATATTAAGTCACTCAAAGACCACCAGCACCTTCAAACTTGTTCCGTTTTGGTGAACAATTGATGCGTTTCAACGAATGCAAACGTTTGAATATAATTCGTTTCGATAAATGAAGTTCACGTGTGTATCACTGAACAAGGGCGACCTAACATGAACAAATACGTAAGAAACTAAGTAAATTTGATCAAGAAGGCCAGGTCTCACGAAGTACACTCATTCGAATTATGTGATTCCTCTAGCCAAAGACTGCCCGAACGAGTGTTAAGGGTCAGTCCGGTGGTCGCGCAGTTTGTGGTTCAGTAACTGCGATCCTTGTCCAGTGAACTTTTGTTCTTTGGTAAACAAACTTCCTCTGTATCGTCGAATAAGATAACACCTCCGTATTGACAATAAGGAAATTCTCAACAGTTCCAAAGCCTGTTGGACTAAGTGGAATAATGGTGAAGGTCCGGTCTGCGTAAGAACAATCGTATCAGGTCTTAGGAGTGTAACCCTCACAACAGGCATCTTACATCGTTCTTTCCATGACCGATTCCCACCGAACTTACTTAGATCTGATGAAATTAATGATGAGTTTCCCGCCACGTTGGCACCGTATTGCTAGGACGTCTGGTAAACGTCATATAAAGGGACCCCGTGCCAATTGAGGTGCGAACAGTCTTGGGATCAAGTAACCTAGATGGCGTAATATAATCAACTAATTCAGTGTTTTTATGGATTACCAACAGCCCATTTCTATAGGCCTTGTTACAATGATAGCCAAACTGACATCCCTGTAATTGTCACACGCACTATTTTGAGGATGGGCGCTGTTGTCGACTCACACCAGTTCTCTGAGACGATCACTTCCTCCCAGAGAGACGCAAATAGGCTAGAGGTACCAGCTGAGGAATTCACCGTCGTCCTAAAAAAGAATACGCAAAAAGTACCCGGGATCAGGAGCACAGTGACACTTAATTAGGAATATACACCCCGCCACCTGAAGAAGGTTCTATTTTCACAGTGCAATCTTCTTTTGAAGGCTAACAGTCCGGATTGGAGGTAGTGGATGATGTCGTTCGAAGCATTGTACCAAAGTCCCTCAAAGTTTAGGTCCCTGACCGTTTTACTTACAAGAAAGTTCCGAGGACCAATTGAACGAATCAAATGGAACGTTTCCAGCGTTTTTTTGCATCTTCCGTTTCTTCGTCATTTCGGGTCCAACTAGCTTCCCGTTATACACGAACACTCAGTCTCATCTGACGTAGGATGATGCGTTGATCTGGTTTTAATCAGAAAGAACCTGTCTTGCTATTGAGGAGAAGGTTGGTAGCTCAAGTAGCGTAGATGGCCGTCTGACAAAGCCACCGTCCTATAAGAGGTTCACTGTTTGGATACAGTTGCCTGGGTTGTATCGCAGATAGAATTCCCGACATTGAGTACCACTTTGGATACATGTCTCCAGTGACCGTTAGCATTCGAAATCGGACCAGCCGGTAGGCATAGGAGGAGCGATCTCCCATAGGTTTGTTCGATTTCTGGGTCCACGAGCTTCACAACCGATAAGCGAGATGTGCGCGTTTTATGTAGACTTGAAAAGCGGCAGCAAACAAGTGCATGGTTGGAGTTCACACAGGTATTCCAGAGGGAGCGGCAGGCAGTGCTCACCACTGGTGACTGATGGCGATGCGGTCTGCTTGGATTGCGGATCAGTTCGCTCGTGGGCACCACGTAGTCAAAGGATTTCTGGAAATTGGTACTGAAAAAGAAGTCTGTGATCAGCAAACATCTGCAGTGGGAGCTTTCCGTTTTGAGTGCGCCTCGCACTTTATCCAAGACCACTCCCAAATCGGGTCTCAGCAGCGCTTTGCTGCTCACGTAAACAGAAACCGTGACAACACCTAGAGCCTCTGCCATTGAGATTCAGTACCACAGGCGCATGAAGATACGATAAACAAGGAGCAATGAACCTCACTTTCTCGAAATTCTTTCACAGACGTTGCCTAGCAAACCGCGCAGAGGAGAGTACCAACGGATATCCCTTCAAGTAGACACGCCCCCTGGTCGCTGATTCAACACTCACTCCGATATATCC